CAGGAAAAAATACAATATTTTATAAATACGCTGCATCCAATAATAAAAACGTTATTATTCTTTTATTATAATTAATCAGATTTCAAATATGTGTGTATACAATATTTTTAACTTTTAAGATACAATATTCTCTCCGCTCAACGTAGTAATACTCCTATATGCAGTATTTACATCTTTAAATTCTAAAACTTCAAACTCTGATATCGAAATTGACTCATGACATCGATATTGCTCGATGAGCCCATGAGACGAAATTATAACAATAATAAATAATGTTTAAAGAAAATAATATTTTTGTTATGGCATCGGAATTAGGAGAATTAACGTCCTATCATTTTGATATTTAGTTAAAAGATATCTATTTTCCAATTAATAGCCCTATTGTTGGATTCGTAGACTGGTCATTGCCAGATTCAATTCAAAGAAATAGACCAGTTTCCCTTGTAGGAACAACAAGTCAAAGACAACCATCAAATGTATATTGGTATCCAACCATCATATGTATATGGTTTCCGATTATGGAAAAATATTAAGTAGTAAAAAGGAAAAATAAAAGAAAAATAGAAACTATGTTACAACAATTGTATCAGGACAAATGTGAGATAAAAGAAAAGGAAACTCTTGATTTCTAATTACGGGAAAATCTAGATGGCGTTTGGAACCGCGCACGACACTTAATTAAAAAAAACCAAAGAATCACTCAAAATCAAGATTTATTTGAAGTACCGGAAGCGGAAATAATAATAAATAAAGAAGAAGATACGGAATATTATATGAAAGAAATGATGTGTATCAACGATCAAGTTTTAATAAAATATAAAAGGATTGCAATGCAGTGGAGTGGATTGGTTTATTAATAAAGATAAGAAAAAATCACTGGAGAGTGTTAAGTATAGATTCTGTAAAGTAACATCCGTACAATTACGACAATAGCAAGAACAAGTGTGCGCAGGCGACACTAGACTGGAGAAACTAAAATGGAGGAAGAAAATTAATATTTAAAGAAAATAATATTTTTGTTATGGCATCGGAATTAGGAAAATTAACGTCCTATCATTTTGATGTTTAAAAGATATCTATTTTCCAATTAATAGCCCTATTGTTGGATTCGTAGACTGGTCACTGCCAGATTCAATTCAAAGAAATAGACCAGTTTCCCTTGTAGGAACAACAAGTCAAAGACAAAAATCAAATGTATATGGTTTCCGATTATGGAAAAATATTAAATAGTAATTAAAAAGGAAAAATAAAAGAAAAATAGAAACTATGTTACAACAATTGTATCAGGATAAATGTGAGATAAAAGAAAAGGAATGTCTTGATTTCTAATTACGGGAAAATCTAGATGGCGCTTGGAACCGTGCACAACACTTAATTAAAAAAAAACCAAAGAATCACTCAAAATCAAGATTTATTTGAAGTACCGGAAGCGGAAATAATAATAAATAAAGGAGAAGATACGGAATATTATATGAAAGAAATGATGTGTATCAACGATCAAGTTTTAATAAAATATAAAAGGATTGCAGTGCAGTGGAGTGGATTGGTTTATTAATAAAGATAAGAAAAAATCACTGGAGAGTGTTAAGTATAGATTCTGTAAAGTAACATCCGTACAATTACGACGATAGCAAGAACAAGTATGCACAGGCGACACTAGACTGGAGAAACTAAAATAAAAGAAAAAGGGGAAGAAAATTAATGTTTAAAGAAAATAATATTTTTGTTATGGCATCGGAAATTAACGTCCTATCATTTTGATGTTTAGTTAAAAGATATCTATTTTCCAATTAATAGCCCTATTGTTGGATTCGTAGACTGGTCACTGCCAGATTCAATTCAAAGAAATAGACCAGATACAGAAAATATCGTTTTCCTATACTTGTAGGAACAACAAGTCAAAGGCAACCATCAGATGTATATGGTTTCCGATTATGGAAAAATTTTAAGTAATGAAAAAGGAAGAATAAAGGAAAAATAGAAACTATGTTACAACAATTGTATCAGGACAAATGTGAGATAAAAGAAAAGGAATCTCTTGATTTCTAATTACGGGAAAATCTAGAGGGCGCTTGGAACCGCGCACGACACTTAATTAAAAAAAAAACCAAAGAATCACTCAAAATCAAGATTTATTTGAAGTACCGGAAGCGGAAATAATAATAAATAAAGAAGAAGATACGGAATATTATATGAAAGAAATGATGTGTATCAACGATCAAGTTTTAATAAAATATAAAAGGATTGCAATGCAGTGGAGTGGATTGGTTTATTAATAAAGATAAGAAAAAATCACTGGAGAGTGTTAAGTATAGATTCTGTAAAGTAACATTCGTACAATTACGACGATAGCAAGAACAAGTGTGCGCAGGCGACACTAGACTGGAGAAACTAAAAGGGAGGAAGAAACTCAATGTTTAAAGAAAATAATATTTTTGTTATGGCATCGGAATTAGGAAAATTAACGTCCTATCATTTTGATGTTTAGTTAAAAAATATCTATTTTCCAATTAATAGCCCTATTGTTAGATTTGTAGACTGGTCACTGCCAGATTCAATTCAAAGAAATAGACCAGATATAAAAAATATCGTTTTCCTATACTTGTAGGAACAAGTCAAAGGCAACCATCAGATGTATATGGTTTCCGACTATGGAAAAATTTTATAAAACATTTCTCGGGCACGGTAATATGTTGAGCAATGTCTTACATGTATTATAACTAATAAATCTATTGATGAAATATTTCTTTACAATTAAATAACGTAAATATTAAAGTAATAAATATTAAAGTCACAAACACCTGTGTTTGTTATAACCTGTTTTTATATGTCCATCTATTCTCAAGTATATAATGTGTGAAACCAAATAAAATCCTTGTGTTACAAAATCTCCTCATTTACATGCTTGTATATAATTATTTTTTATCACAGATTATTCGTCTTAATTTTGAAAAGCTATTCTTTTTCATTCTGATATTTTCCTTCTATACGTCGTAGAGGCTTATTCACAATTTCAACTATTAGACATTTCAATACATTCAACATTTCTTAGAGATGAGAAATTCCTCGATCAAAACCTCTGGGCTGATGTTCTTTATCATTACGATTCAAATTTATTTCACGCACCTTATTAATATAGCTTTTTCGTCATACAACATCTCCAACCCGGATCAACCCGGATAGTTAGGATATGAAGTTGCATGGTAGCCACTGGAATATTACACTGCGTATAAAATAATTAGTATTATTATTGTTGTTGTTATATATTGAATTTTTTTATAATTACATATTCTGCATATCAGTACTAATAATCTCTTACTATGAGGAAATTGAAAGAAGACATGTTGCGTATCGAATGGGATAGACGATTACGTATAGTGTTACGGGTATAAAATATATAGTATAATATAGAAGTGTTCTCATCTATTTTTGGAAAAGCAAGCTTTGACTTTGAGAGACTAATAGCTGTATTATTTGTTACAGTAACATTGTTTCTCTCTGTAGCCGCTCGGGATCGCGCCAAGAGATGTCGCTTCCGAACGGCATTTCTGAGCGTTATCTAAGAAAAGGATTCCGAGTATCTCGGAAAATGGCATTATCGTATATAATTAAATTCGGCATAAAATATCTTTTTATTCATTTTTATTAATTGGGAACAAAATTTTTAGATTATAAAGAAAATCGGTGAGTGGTGGAAGCATGTTAAAATTAAAAAAAAAACTGAAAACACCATTATAAAGTATTATTGAAACCATTAAATTTTTATGTAGAAAGTGCTCTTCTATCTTTCATTCTTTTAACGATGCAAAAAAATATCGATTTTTTTCAAAGGGGTATTTCACTCTCTACAAGATCGAGTTTGTAATTATATACATTATGTAATTACGACATATTTCAAGTTCACTCGAATCGGAGGTGGACCGTTCTATGTGTTTCCTTGCAAGATTGCTTGAAGGAGTTAGAAGAAGATACAAAAAAATATCGATACGACAATTACGAAAATAGAAGAACCAATGCAGGTAGTATCAGAGATAAAAAGTTAAAAAGAATTTCTGAATATACGGTAAACTATTTCAATGAAGCGCTTGATAAAGGAATAATTTTTCATGATATTAATATTGCTCGATAGGTTTCTCGAGTATAAGAAAATGCAGCAGAATTCAAAACCTCCTATCAGAAAAAGTGCGTATTAACTAAATCTCGAATATACCGAACAGGGTGAAACCTCTTTTCCGCGACGCTAATTGGCCGTCTCGATCGTCTCGATTGTCTCGATCCCGCAGTTGAATTCGTGTTGCTTGCAGCTGTCAGCAGCTGTCAGCAGCTGACAGATCAGGTTGTGTTGTCGCGTCATATAAATTTGATATTTATTGTAATAGGAAATTACAACTAACATGTATGTTATATGTAACATTGTGTTTGCAACCGGGAATATAATTTGTAAAAACGAGTATTATAATAAATTGTAATAAATTGTAAATAGTATAACAAAAAGGCTAAAGTGGCACGCGCGAAGCGCGCGCTATGTGGTGTTCTAGTATAGATAAAATGTGGATAAGAATTACACATCATATTATGTTTCGGAAAATAACTAAATTTGTCACAAAAAATTTTTGTTGTATCAAATTCAGATTTGGAAAATAAATGCGATACATTCATCGCAAACATAAAATATTACATTAGTAGATATTGGAGTGGAAATTATTTATAATTCGAATCCAACTGAATTTCAGTTAAATTTCATTCCGGCTGTACCTTATCATAAAAAGATATAAAAAGAATAGAATTTGTAGTACAATCATACCACACATAATTACACTATACAATCGACTATTTCCGCGTATAGATTATTGTCGTTTCTTTTATTACGTTAAAAAAAAGTTACGTTAAAAAGAAGTTACAGCAACACTTACAAGGAGATGACGCCAATTAGGAAATCGCTTTTCCAACGAGTCATAGTGCGTTCGATAGCTTACATGTAGCTAATAAAAACCCTAAAGGCGTTTGTGCCAATGGGCCTTCGACATTGAATATTATACAGAAGAAGAACAAAACGTGGTTGTATGCGAAAATATGCCGAGTACAAGTAAGAATACACCCGATGAATTGAAAGATTATGAACCTCCAGAAAAAATTTCTACGCATAAAGTAGTGCCATACGATACAAAATTAAAGGTCGTACTGACAGCACAAGAACATCCACAGTGGTCTTTCAAAACATTAAAGCATCATTTTAGAAAATATTTAAACCATCCTTCTGATGTTACGAAATATAAAAAAGCTGTTTTGTCAGGCGGTACTTTTAGAGACAAATTAAATACAATAAAAACTAATGTGTACGATCGCTTCACAGAAGCAAGAAATAAGAATCAATTAGTTACGCGACGTTTGCTTCAACAGTGGGC